GCCCCACCTACCGCGGCCCTGCTCCGGGCTGAGCGGCGGAGGCCGGCGGGTGCGTGCCCCCTTTACCAGCTCCCCGGCAGCGGGGGGATTTCTGACTTGCCAGGACCAGGTGGAGGGGAGGAGCATTCAGCAAAGGGTTAACAACCTTCCCAGGGAGGGAGGGAGGGAGGGAGACCCCCTTTCTCCATGAACCCCCCTGCAGCCACCTCCCGGCTCCTGGGCACCGTGGGCCCCAGCAGGGGTAAGATAGCCCCTCCATGGGGGCACCCAGGCACCTTCCCCGCCCCGCGGCTGTTCTCTAGGGCACTGGGCCAGGACTCGGGAGCTGTGGGGGCCGTTCCCCACCCTGCCACAGACTCCCCAAGTAGCCTTGGCCAAATCCCTGCATCTCCTGCTGCATTTGCTTCCCTGCCCCCCATGAAATGGGAATGCTGGGGGCTGCGGCAGGGCTGAGGCACTGGGGTATTGCAGGGGTGCGGGGTGGGAAGCAGTGGGGTGAGGCAGATCCCTAGCAGCATTTCTAACCCGTCTCTGAGCAGGGAGACCTCCCCTCCTTCACTGGCCATGAGGCCAATGCCTGTGGGCCGTGACTCGTGGGGTGCCACTTAGTACCAGGTGTGTGCACTTGTGCCTACCGACTCTATCAGCTGCCTTCACATCTGTCTGCACTAACCACTGGTATTAACACCTCCCCCCCTTTAAACACCTGCTAATATCCTTGTGTAGATGCGTGTATGACAGGAGTGTGTCTCGGACAGCGCTGCCTGCCTGGGAGAAACTATTGGCGCAGAAGCCCAGGGCTGGAGGGGTCACCAGCACGAGCACCTGGTCCCCTCACAGCGCACAGGCTGAGAGATGCAATAAGTCAAGTCGGTGGAGCCTTGGCTTTTTTAACCTCCTGCGATGGTTTCCAACCACCTGTCTGCAAGCACCTGGGGGGCCCAAGACCCCTAAATGGTACCAGAGCCCTCCTGCGGGTGATAGAGGCAGCAAAGTGCCTAACGTGCCCCCCAGGTCACGGGGTGACAACTGGGCAGAGAACCCAGGAGTCCTGCTGCCCTGGCCCGTCCTGGGGCTGGCCCTGCCCTCGGCTACGGCAGCAGCGGTCAGCCTGGCTCCGTTCCCACCTCCAGCTGCTCCC